TCGGGTTACCTCTCTACTCGGGTCTTCCAAGTAGGCTTCCATCTCCTTCTATTGGTTCCTATGATTTACACAGCCACGAGGACTTATTGTAAGTTTGCTGCCTGGTACCAGTTTGCATTCCTTTGTGTAACTACAGACCTTGTCCCAAAGGACAATGGCATGTAATCGTTACACAAATGCCATGTGACCTGCCAGTCATGCTGGTGTGACACAAGTTACAGGTATCTTATTCCAACCAATTGTGAGAGACAGTTAACCATAACACAGAGAGAATTTTCAAATTTTCCGTCAATACTGGGATTTGAACTCTGGACCTGCCACTTGGAGATGAAACTTAAATTAAATATCAAAGTAGTACTAGAGTTAGAATAAACTTTATAAGAGCATAGCAGTTTAATGATACATCTTGACTGCAAATGTTGGTCTTAATTATAATAATATCAAATCAATTATAAGAATTAAATTCAGAAGATTCTAAAAGGTTTAGTACAAGGTTAAAGATTCTTCATATAAGTAAACTATTTTAAAAACTTAATGATCATAACATATTTATACTAGTATAGACTGAAATATCTTAGTAAATATAAATAGATAGATAGATATGAAAACTATAATATTTAAATAAGAAACTTATAAGCAGGTTTCAGATATAACAGCTAGTATAAAACCTTTAAGCAGACTACTTAAATTAAATAATGACTAAAATTTGTATAAATAATAGTTGTATACTTTTTTCATAATTGTCTTCTATGATTGTAATGTAACTATTAACTGAATGTATTATTAATAAAATCCTAAGTTATAAGTACTTATCTTAATATTTAAAAAAAAAATTAATAATAAAATAATAATAATAAGCTAAATACTTATAATATATAATAGTATAATATTACTAAAATTAGAAAATCTTCTTAGTTATAATCAGAATTGTTTTGTTTATAAAATATAACAAATCTTAATCACTATTATAGAAAGAAACATTTTGTTGAGAGGTGTGATGACCTAGTGAAGTAATTAGGTTATCAATTCTCCAAGTGGTAGGTTGAATGTTCAAATCCCATCGATGACAAAAATTTAGATAATCATCTATATAATATTCATATTATAGTAACTATTACTAATAATTAGGTTAGAATACCTATAATGGCAGTCACACCAGCATGACTAACAGGTTATGAGGCATCTGTGTAAATATGGCATTATATAGAGGAATGCAAACTGACAAATCAAATGATATAAACACCAGATAAGTTCTTGTAGTTATGTAAATCTGTTAAAATTAAATAACAAGATGTCTATTTGGAAAGACCTGAGTAAAGAGATAACTGGATTTTTGACAACTTTATTGTAAAGGCTAGCTTGAGGAAACAGATATTAAGATCATAGTACCCAATTATAGTAACTAAATAAGCAAGAACCTTTAGATTGGAAAGTCTTAAAAATAATATCAATCAAGCTGCTAAAACAAACTAGAGAAAAAGAATATTAAACTGACCTGATATATCAATAAACTGGTTGTAATCCTATACAGTTATCTGGATTAGGAGTTTGGTAAAAAAGCAGATGAAAAGACAAAAATATACTAAAGTACTAGGGTTATGCTATAAAGTAAATGCTAGAGTCTAAGTAAACTCTATAAAAATATAACAGTTTAATGATTAACTCTAATCACAAGTATTAGTTCTACTATAATGATATCTAAATTAACTATAAAAATAGGTACAAAAGGCTCTGAGAGGTTTACTTCGAAAATAAATTAATCCTAAAATTAAGATGATAATCTGAATATTTGGATATAATCCAGTAAGTTAACACAGATTACAGATTTAAAGAATTTAAAATGAAATATCCAAGCAAAGATGTTAGATACAACAATTGGTAAGGAACCTTCAAGCAGACTTCTTAAATAAGTAATATAAAAAAATTACATATGTAACTAATTGTACTCTCTCCTGTAGTAGTTTATTGAATCACAATACCAATAAGTGATTAATAAAAATCAAAAGACCAAAGAAGTCATCTTAATACCAAAAAAAAAAAAAACATCTGGTTGAAAATAAATATTATTGTATAATATTATGATCTAAAACATCTGCAAGAAAAATAACAACAAACTTAATTTAAGATATAGATTAATTAAAAACTAATAATAATAGTAAATTTGACTTAAAATATAAATTCATTATAGATTCAGAATCTTTGTTAAAAAACCTTAAAAAAATAATAATAAACATATTAAAAATGAGAGATCATAAAGATTAGATATACCTAAATAATACTAATTTGAAAATAATATAATAATAAAAAAATAAAAAATATAAGAAATAAGGTATTATTAGATATAATTAGATTAGAAAACCAAGTAAAACATGTGAGTAAAACATATGAATATAATTATAAAAGACAGTATCTCTAACATTAAGATATCATATTAAATTTGAAAGTACCTTTGTAAGCATGCAGTGAACACGGACTTAGATGCCATATAGATAACCAGGTAAAGTCAATAGAATAAAAATTAAGATAGCTAATATAGTACTAGTAATAATTGATCTTATAAATATAACCGTAAATTGTACTATATCAATTTTAAAACCTAATAAGCCAACTGACAGTGTCGCTAAAGTTTAAAAAAATAAATAAATAAATAAAAACACAAGCCAATTAAATTCAAAAATTTGCTTGTAAAATACGATTTACTAATTTGATATATTCCGGACTGTAATGAATATAAACGTTAGAAATGGCTTTTACAGTGATTTTTTGTTAGTGAAACGTTACGTTCTCAAAAAGTACTTTAAACTGTTACCCAGGCAGACGAATGTATGCCTATGAGTGGCTGACTGATAACCGGCAGGTTGTGTAACATTTACAGTCACTCCTGTTAAAATTATTAGATTATCTAATTCTCCACTATTTCCTCTATATCGTATGACAAAGTCAAATCGACAACAATCACTAACTTATCCAGCACTACTATAAGCATAATTTTGAATAGCTTTTGAGATATATTTATTTTTAATTCTAAAAATAAAACATGAGAGAAATCAATCTCATCGGAATAATCGTAAGTACCATATAATAAGGTATTGGAAAAATATGAAGTGTGTAATAGTAATTCATCCTATGTCTAATTCCACCAAAAGTATGAATAAGGAGAATACTGAAAGGAAAAAAAAACAATAGTACAAAGGGGATAAGGGGAAGATGTAAATTTATACAATGAAAAAGAATAAGCGATTAAAGTGCTACACGCCAGATAAATGTTCACACATATGTATATATATATAATAATATAATAATAAAAAAGGGATATACAATATTATAAATGATGTGATAATATTACATTGTAAAAAAGTTTTTTTTTTTTTTTTTTCTTTTTATTATTATTACGAATAATAACAAAAGTATGCAAGTTTCCAATACCAAAAAAGAGTTTTTTTTTAAAAAAAAAAAATTCGGTAAAGCATATATAAATCAAACATCTTACTGTTCGCACCATCGATGCTCCAGGACTTGATTGATCGTTAATCTTTGTTTTGGATTTGTTTTAAATATTTGTTTTAACAAATCTTGTAAATCATCACTGACCCCAGCATCATAAAGAGCCGATTCATCATAACGTCCATTGATTATTTTAAGTTGGAGACGTGGTGCGTAATCATCCATGAAAGGTAAATGATTTACCACAATGGCATATAGCACAACTCCTAAGCTCCATATGTCAGCAGCAGGATCCTTTAATGGAACTTTACTGCGAGCTTGTTCTGGAGCACAATAAGCAAGGGAACCACCAGCTTCCTCTTCACAAGAGGCGAGGTTAGCGAAACCATTCGCATCATTTTGGAATTCAGTCAAACCGAAATCACATATTTTCCAAGTACCATCTTTATCTAGTAATATATTGTCTAACTTGATATCCTTATGTACTAATCTCATATCGTCATGTAAATATCTTAAACCCTCAGCAATTTCTAAGAATATTTTACGAGCTTCATCTTCGTCCAATCCTTTACCTTCACCCTTACTATTTTTCTTTACATAATCCAAAAGAGTACCACCTGAGCAATATTCGGAAAAGATATAGGTGGCATAATCATCCTCTTGGACATTAATCATTGGAACTATATTTGGATGTTCGAGTGCTCTCCAAATACAAATTTCTCTTTCAAGAAGTGCCTATTAATTAAAATATAAATATTAAATTTGTGTAACTAAATATATATATATACATCAAGTATATATATATATATATAATAAGTTATGATGTTAGATTAAAATCTTTGTTATATTAGAATAATTATAATTCCTTAATAATTATAAACACGAACATAGATTTTAATCTGACACAAAACTTTAATCTGATGTACAAGATGTATTACCTGAATATGATCGTTACAATCGGAATCACTATTTTTTAGTACGATCTTGACAGCAGCTTTTTCCATTCCGGAATAATTATCCATTCTAATGGCTTCTTTTACAGTAGAGAAACCACCCCTACCGATAACTTTACCGATAATATAATCACCAATTTGTTGACCTTCATCATCAGGCATTGATTTAGAAGTAGTAGCCTGGGCCAAATTAGCCAAAAAGTTAACAGCAGGGGACCAAGGAATATTTTCGTAAGATGAGGCAGTTACCATATCAGGCAATGAAAGAGAACGAGTTTCATTATTAAAAGGATTCTCTGTAATGACATTCAATTTTTGTCTTATAGTAAGGGGGGAGGACTCCATTTGTGAAACAGACGAACCGAAGGAAGGAAATTGTAAATTAAATTGTTGCGACGAATTTGTAAGTTGTTTTCCAGAAGAATACCTTTGAAATTGGACAGACAAAGCGGGACTTGGAGTATCTATGTAAGAACTAATAGAAGAAGTCGAAGAACAAGGAGATAAAGAAGGAGGATCCCAAGGAGAAGTAACGTTTAGACTCAAGGGAGACATATCAGTAGTAATTCCATCAGTTTGGTCGTCCGGTATGACCAAGGTATTTTGATCGTTAAAGATTTGATCATAATTGATGGAAGTAGAACTTAAGAGAGGGAGAGACATTCCACGAGAAGGAATAGTGGAATGACGACGAGATTTTAAACCTCTTGAAAGGAATTTTTTCTGATCAGATTTGTCAACATCTTTTCCAGAATCAAATTTGTCGCCGAAATTTTCAACTTGATTAGATAAATTATAATCAGAGTCGACGATAATTTTTACGGGAAGCGAAACAGGTGGTGTAACATCTGAATTATAATTTTGGTATTTGAGAGAATCAGTTAAATGATCTTTCGGTAATTTTCTAGTGCGTGGAGAAGGTTGAGAAGTATTAATAGGAGGTAACGAATTTCTTAGTTTTTCTCTAATAGAGATTTTAGCGGAAGTATAAGAATCAATTGGCGTTTCCGGTCGAGCAAATTTAAGAGAAGTACTATTTAAAACTTCCAAATCATAACAATGTCGGTCAAAAGAGTCAACAAACTGGGAAGTATAAGTTTGTTGCCAATGACTCATTATAAGTTAAACCAGTAATAATAACAGTAATAGTAATAATACTAATAAAAAAATGTTTTTTATGTAAATAGAAAATTGGCTTCAACTTGATAAAATACCCACGCCTATTATAAGTTTATGTATAAACTGTGGGATAAAAATTTGAAAATTCTTTTAATTTATCCTTTAAATTTTTTTTTTGGGACTTTTTTTTTTTTTAATCGTCGTTTTCAAACGAAACCAGTTCTATCTGATATCAACTTGACGATATCGTGTATTTTTTTTTATTGCAAGATCAATACACCTTACGCTTTTACGCTATGAACGTCTTAGGAGAAAAATAAAACGGAAAATACATGAATTTTTAATTTATATAATAATTTACAAGAAAAAGAAATGTCATAAGCTTGTCCTTTATTATACAAGTTCATGACATCATGTATATATATTGCTTCTACTTACTATTAATAATTAGGGACGGAGTTAGCCGACTGTATATATTATAAATACTGTTCTAATTTCCTTGAGAGTGTTCGTTTCATGGGTTGACCCCACTCGTCTTTATCGTTAATACTTGAGGTTAGAATTTATTCTAACGGTCACCAAATAATGATAATATAATGATGATATATATCTATTATTGTTGGAAAAAAAAAAAATCTTACTCTTCCGGAAACGAAGTGACTAAGATGAATGGTATATTTTTTTATAAATAAAAATTTTTTTTTTTTATATGAAGATTAAAGTAAAAAATTTCACAATGCAGTTTCTGTTTAAGATACACAAAAAGATAAGATCTATAAAGAATCATGTTTATTGGGCACGAGAAGAAAGCCTTTTACCAAAATTGGAATTCCTTATCTTTGCTAAAATCAATTTCTACATCAAATTTCAAAAGTAGTGAGATCATTTTAGATCAGATACGGAAGGATAATTGGCCGGAGATGATTAAACTGATAAGATTATGTACCGCACTACATATAAATACGCATATAGCAGTGTAATGCATGTTGTATGAGTTCATGTGATTGTTTAGTTTGCGTAATAACAATGACAAAAATTATTTAAATGTGAAAATGAGATACCCTGAAAAAGTTTTTTCTTACAAAAACAATCAGGGCTGAAAATATCGTGGCAGTTTTGTTGACTATTTATTACTGTTCCAATGCTTATTATTATTTAAAAAAGTGTGTCTTTTTTGATTAACGTTAAAAATATGCAACAAAATATGCAATTATTATTCTAACCAATTAATTTTTAATATATCAGAGATCAAGAATAACACTTTTGGTGATTATATAAATAATATCCAAAATTTTGTCGGTTCATGCTATGTTACTTTCAGCCCAAGGAATGAATGAGTGGATTGATCTCATGCTCGGATTTGTTAAAAATAAGACAATCATGGGTTATTATGGTTTTTCATACCATCATCCATTTATGATATGATTGATCCCAAAAATATCAATATAAATAAGTCCGGATGCATGTACGTCGTACACTCGGTTAGAACATAGGTAATTTTTGTACAACTTATGCGATTCTTTTTTTCGATGCAATAGAAAATGCACATTGAAACATATTTCATTTTACACTTTTTTCCAAAGGCGGAATTGAAAAAAAACAATTAATGAATATCGCTAAATTAATGACTAAACTAATCCAAAATCGTAACAAGTAACCTTGATTTTCATTAAGTATACGTATTAGATGCAGGAGTATATATGTTAAATTGCATTTCCATATCATGCTGATTGAATTTTCCCAACCATATCCTTCAGGTTTTTAACTTATTCGCTTTTAGACGTTAACGGTTGATCTTCTGCTCTCCACTTAAACGTTGCTTAAACATTGCTTAAATGTTGCTTGAATGTTAAATTTTCAAGCATCTTAATTTATCCATTGTTTAAGTTATCGTTATTTATTTTCGATATGAATGATATACAGATTTTCCGAATTTGATCTTGGCAATAGTAATTGGTCACTTGAATTTATTATTACAAAGCAAACATTCATGTACCACTCTAACTCAGGTCTTTCTTAGAATAGATAATGCACCTGTTACCGAGCTTTTTAAAAATACCCCCCATTAAATATTTTGTTTCGTATATTTTAATTTTGATTGGCTTATCACTCAATGTTTATTAATTTAATATGGTTTCTTCACCTCTTTACCGTTACTTCTTTGTGTTAAGCTTAACATATATAGTATTTAACATATACGGTACGTACCAATTTTCTTTAAAAACCTAAATTTGTCCATTTTATATTTATTTATTTCACAAATTATTTTTTGGTTAAAGATTTGTAACCCCGTTGATAACTTCGGATGTTGTAAATCATGCGAGGTTAATTACCACTTAATTTTATTCTATTTGCATTTATGACCGCATGGTTTTTTTCTTTTTTGATGTCCTTGGTTCAAACATATAAAGTTGCATAATTAATTCAGTCTCCAGGTCATATATTTCCCTTTTTAAGAAAACAAGAAACGTAATGTTTATATATATCTTGAAACTTCACATATACCTATTAAACTATTCCTAACAAATTCTTAAAACTCCTCACTTATGCAACACAAAAACTTTATTTTAAATTCATTAATTAAATTTATAAAATTCTTTTACCGTAATCTGCTAACTTGTAGATCCCTATGGCTTATATCCGACGACAAATTTAGGAATATAAAATTTTTCTTATCGTTATGACTTTATCTTTCGATTACGGTAAATTTTCGGATACGCTGGTCAGCAATTTGCAACATCATTTATGCAATTACTTTTTTATATTTTACTTAAATGATTTGCGTAACTTATGTAAGTCATTTTGACTGACATAAGGTTCATTTTAGGTGATGTAATTCCATGTAACTTATGTAAGTTACATCTAATAATAAATTTGCCAAATCAAAATCTTTTAACTCGTTTAACCGATAAAAATTTTTCGACTTGGTCGGCTTAGCAAACTTGAATAACTTTTTATCTGCTGATCTGTTTTGGATAAATAGCTGTCAAAATGGTCGTCTTAATGAGACAATTCTAATGAATATAAAATCATTGAATCCAATCCTGGAATCGGTAAGGGGTTTTTTTCTTACAAAGATTATGTATTATCCCATTCTATAGTGTCACTTTTGTAAAAAAAAAAAACATTAGCGATTTCAGGATCCAGTAATTGAATTTTAATGATTTTATATTCACTAGGATCGTTTCATTGAGACGAACATTTTGACAGTTATTTTATTCAAACCGAATCAGTAGAAAAAAGTTATTCAAATTTAAAAAATGTTAAGTTACATTTGTTTTAGTACAATTTTAAAATTCAGTTGATATGATCAATTCTTTATTGTAATTAATAATTTTTTAAAAAATTTGATAAGATAGGATAATAAATTAATATATATAGCAATTTGAGTTTAATAAAACATTATTTTGTTATTTTTATTTTTATTTTTTTTTTTAACCTTAAGCAGTTATGTTAGTACTTTATTAAGATTCTTGAAACTATATACATATAGAAACTTTTACAGCAAAAGAAGGCAGTGGGTAGTTTTAAATTGATTTTTAAATAAGTATATCTTATGATCGAAATTAAATGATTTTATATTATTAGATTTATTTTAGTAAGATGAATCTAATGATATAAAAATTATTATTTTCTGATCATAAGATATACTTATTTAAAAATCAAAATTTAAATTATTTATTGTTTTTTTTTGCTATAGAGGTTTTTATATATAATTACATAAAATTTTTTAATATCTAAGTTTAATATTATTTAGTCACCTTATTAATATTTATATGCAATTTGTTATGTTATTTTAGTTAAAGATAGACTGCTTATCTAATTATTTAAAGTTATATTAAAAAAGTTTTTCATTTTCTATAACAAGCATATTAATTGACTTCTAAGTTACTTTCTTTATTTAATATGTTTTTTCTATTTTTTTTTTTTTTTTTTTGCTTGTTTTTCTTTTTTCTAATTTTTTTTTTATACAAGTATTTTTCTTTATTTTAATCATTATGTTAGTTTTCTTTTTTTAATCTTATATTTTTTTATATCAAATTTTTTATACTTAGTTAAAGAAAGTATTTTATACTGTTTTTATTATTATATTTATATATTTATATATTGTTTGCTTATTTAAAAGTTATTCAAATTTTTTTATTATTTTTGATATAATAAGTTCTTTTATTAATGTTTTTTGTTTATAATTTTTTTTGTTTTTATTTCTTTAAAAATTATTTTATATAATATTTGTAATAGGATTCTGTTTTTTTTTTTTTTTTTTTTATATATTGTTGCTATTGTTATTTTTTAAATCTATTTCTATAAACTTTTTTGTCTACTACAACTTGTTAAATAAGTATATTTAAATTTTTTTTCTATTTTGACATATCTAGCACTTTGCAGTTATATATACTTTTGAATTTTTTTGTTTAGTTTTTTAAGCATTAGTAGGCTATTTATTATGTACTTAATTGCTATAGCTCTTTTATATTTAGTTTTTTGATATACAATAAAATTTTTTGTTTTATTTATTTTTTTTTAAAAACTTGAACAATTATATAATATATTTTTTGTTTCTGATTCTAATATTTTTATTGAATTTATTTCTTTTTAACTGGTTCTAATTCTGATATTTGTTATTATTTTATACAAAAGTTTTGTTGATATATTAAATTTTTTTATTTTCTCATTTTAAATTATATTTTATTTTATTTTATTTTTTTTTTTTTTTAACCTTAAGCAGTTACGCTAGTACTTTATTAAGATTCTTGAAACTATATACATTTATAATTA